CCCCAAAACCCCAAAACCCCAAAACCCCATCTTATCAGAATAGCTTATCAAACTACATTTAATAGATAATATGATTTGATGAGTATATTATAAAAATATCCATATAATGGAAACCATGAAATCCACAACTTATCTCTATCAGACTGAAGCAACTGATGGTATCTCCAATAAGGCCATGATATCTGAAATAGATTTTTCTGAGAAAAGCACACCTCAAGAATATGGTCTATAGTCAAGGAGATTCTTTCAACTTATACTAATGACTGCAGCTTTTACTTTGAATGCAGTGGCTTTCTCAGTAGATAATCTGCAACCACCAGACTATCTTTTCTATTTCTCGCATTTGGCTTTTCCTTTCTTGCTTACCAAAAGTTTGTGGGTCATAGATGAGCTAGGAGTCAAGCATATGCTAGTTATAGCCATGATTTTCCAAACTTTAGCTCTTTGGTTTGGAAGAACATTCAGCTCTAAAGTATTTGGAACAGATTTGGTTGCTCCTACATTTTCTGAGATTTTGAATTCAGTGGCGTTCGTCTTACTTCTTAATTCAAAAACTAAGTTCAGTAGCCAATGGTTTGACTAAAAAGGAAGAATTTAATCAACTGCTACAATGCTTGGGGGTAGACAGATTGGTCTATATTTAGTTTACTGGTATTTGAAGTTAGCTGGCTATGATTACAAGGACTATTTAATGGCAAGCAGCTTTTAGTTTGCTTGTGCTGTAATTAACTTCGCACTTCTCCTACTCGTCATACTATTCTTCAATAATGAACCTGAAAAATTATCATCCCGTAGTCAAAGGCAAACCAAAAAATAAGACAAACTCGGCTTTGATACCTAATTTGAATAATTTATGTAAAGCGATGACAGAGTAGATTACATGAAAATTTTAATCTCCTTAGCTGTATATTGCTATTGCTCCCCATACAACTTCTACTGGTATTTGTTCTATAACAATGGAGTGAATCTTGAAAATGATCAATTTGTCGCTCATCTTATATAGCCAATAGTCTTCACTGTAGGCATCTTAGTATTTGGATTTCTCCTATCATAAAGTTTATCTTTCAGGAAAACAATTATCTTCCTAATTATAATGAATATTGCTGCAACAATAGCAACTGAGCTTTGCTATATATTGAACTCAAACGTTGCAATGTAAGTATGCTATTGTATCCATGCTTTCTTTGTGGGAGGTCTTAAAATTACAATATTCGAGATGGTCACTGATTATTCATACCCTATTAGCCCAAGTGTTACTCTGGGTATATTTAACACATTCAGTAGCACTGTCATCCTATCCTTGACTATGATGAGTGACGAAATCGATAGAACTTTTAACAATGACGAGTATGAAAATAACCTATTCAATGATATTATTCAGTTGGTCTTCATAGGTGTCTTGACCTTTGCTTGTATTAAATTTATGAGGGATGAACAAAAGAGCAAGAGAACTCAGCATGATTAGAATTATTAAACAGGCCACATATCAGGATATTGATTGAATACGAATCTTAATTTCATTCATTCAGTTTGACAACTTTTGGTATCTTCATTTGCTTTTATCAATATTATACTATCTCATCTTTATCGTCTCCTCGGGGTTTTGGGGTTTTGGGGTTTTGGGG